GTTGTCTTTTTTTTTTTTTCCTTTCTTTCCTTTTTTGAGACAGGAGAGCAAAGCAGTTAAAGTTCAGAGACCAGGGGCCTCAGGGCCACTTCCTCCCTCGCCTCTATCATCAGAGCACCCTCCATTCCTCTTCATTGCTCTTCCACAGGAGTAAATGCTAGAGGACAACGTCCTCTGGAATCTTAGTGGCCAGGAAAAGGAGAGTGGAACGCTGATGGCCTCTGGTCCTTAGCCAACTAAGAGAGAGCCAAGGAAGACAAACCCCAGCCTGGAACCTGGAGAAGTCTTTACTGAATAGCAGGTCTAGCCCAGCCAGGAGCCTGTCAAGACTTAGCCAGGAAGCCGAGAGTGACCCCGTCTTGACGGGCTCCATCTGAGTCTTCTCTCTGGTGTAGGACTCAGCTCCCCTCATGTAACCTGGAAAGCCGGATGCCTTCCCCATCCACTGGTTCTACCACGGACTAAACACCAAACAGTGGTGGACCGTGCTTTCCGGGTCACCGTTCATTCTCATTTTCTATTGTGCCGTAAAAGGATTGTTTCTCCATATACTTACATATATCAACCTATCATGCATATAATATATATATATGTCACATACGTATATATATTATATATGAGTATGCTTTTCTCTTCTGGCCTGTGTCAGAAGCAAGAAGCATAGGAGGTTGTCTCGGGTCCTGCCTCTCTACTAGCCGCCGCCTCCTTCCTGGGCCTCCTCAGCCCCCTATATTTTAATTCTTGATCATGTAGGAATTGTTTTTGATAAATGTTGATATTATTGTTATTATTATTATTAATAAATAAAGATAAAGGGATTTTGTTTCAAAGAGAAATGTTTAACCAGATTCTGTTCTATTTGGATCGGGACTTGCACCTTCTGTTCCAAGCGTTTCCTTTCGGCATTGTAATCGTGAGCTGCTCTTACCCGTGCCCGTGGCAGATGCAGTGGTCTCCTTTTCCCAGCTGAAGCAGTGCATACGCAATAGCTATTGTCTTCGTCATTATCTTTATTTCTCTCCATTGTTAGAAACCAAAGTCTTCTCTGCTGGCTAGGGGCTGAGAGAGGATCTGGGTTATCTCCTTCTGATCTTCAAAACAAGAGAGAGACATTAAATACTCTAACTCTCAATCCTTTTCTCTGGAAAAAGAGTAAGAGGTCCCACGTCCCCTCCTACTCTTTCATCCTGAATTTGCACAGAAGAAAGCGGGTGCCAGGCATGGCCATCCTGGTGTCGCTGGTAGGGTCCCATGCAGCTTGTCCTTCTCCACTGATACTGGCAGCTCAGCTCCTGGTCCCAACATCCCTCGTGGATTTCTACAGTGCAAGAGCCTTTCTTGGGATCTGTCCTGTGTTTCCACGGTCCCCAATCTTCCCTCCACTTGGTGGGGTCACCAACTACTCGTGAGAAGCCTTCAAGAAAGCCCTGAAAGCTATTGTTGGACTTCTCTGGGCTTGTTCCAGCTCTGATGCCCCTGGTGCACCCTCCTACCACCACATGCTCAGCCTGATCTGTTTACAAGGTACTGTACGTATGGGAGAGCAGACTGCACCTCCAGCAACCACCCAGACGAAAGCCAGTGAGCCTACTAACCGTGCCATCTTGCGAACTACACTTTAAAAAAGTCATTGCTTTGTATTGTAGTAAACAATATGCGCAGTATATGTTGAATGTATATGAACATACTTTCCTATTTCTGTTCTTTGAAAATGTCAGAAGTATTTTTTCTTTCTCATTTATGTTGAACTAAAAAAGGATTAAAAAAAGAAATCTCCAGATTCAAAGTGCTAAGACCTTTTGTCCTTTCTTTAGTAGGGCATGCCAACTCAGTCAAATGGTTAGGTGGGAGATTGTGAAAATAAAAATCTGATCATGTTCTTAGGCTGGTGTGGTGTTGGCCTTGGGATCCAGAGTCTAGTTGGGAGAAGCATCCAGGTGGGTGGAGGCTGGAGAGGTGTCCCAAGCTTAGGGTGGGGCTTGGAGTGATTCATTATCTCACCTCTATCTGGCCTGATGAAACTAGAAGCCTGAACTCAGCCTCACATTGTGTCCCCAGACACTCAGCTTGGACTCTGCTCCCTTAGGAGGGAGCATTTGAGTGTGCCGAGGTCGATGGAAAATAGATTCCTTGAAAGGGTACTTCTGAAGGAGAGAAGTTCTGAAAGAGCTGGCACAGGCCGGACCCTTGATTGAGGTGACCCCAGTGGGCTAGTGATAGGAAAGCCAAATGAGTGTTAGGACAGGAAGGGGACGTATCCTATAGTTTTCCCCGTTTCCATGTCTGAACTCCAAAGGGCAAGGTAGAATTTTCAGCAGAGTCCGAAGCATGACTAAGAGATAGCTGGTTGAAAGTCTATGAAGAAAGCTTACCGAAGCTGGAAACACTGAGTTCCTATGAAAGGAAGGAACTTACAAAGGCCTTAGAGTCCACGGAGGACTAGGAAGTTGCCGTGGGATTGTTGAGAACAGAAAAGAGCCTTCGCAAAAAGGGTCTCCTAGAAATCGTCAGTCTGCACACACCCCCAGGCAAGGCTAAGTGAGTCTCTGGAACCAAACAGCGATACACACAGATGCCTTCCAACAACCGTCATAGCTTTTGCTGATTTCTCTCCTTAAATCAGCCAGGGTGCCTTTGGGCTAGAGGTTGAGTGAACCACTATCTCCCGGATAGAGACCTGGATATCTCTGTGCTCTAGCAAACAGGCCGTGCTGGCAGATCCTTATGCAGTGGACAGCACCCCCTCCAGTTGCAACGGTCGGAAGTCAGAGGGCTGCTCGCCCTGTGCTGGTGGAAGTTGAACTCTGTCTTGGCCTTATTCTCCTAAGCAGGAGGCAGGAGAGAATCCTGTATAGCTGGTTATAATTCCGGGCCCTAGGGTCTAACTTGGGGCTCTGTCCTAAGAGTTGCAACAAAATTGCCAATCAGGAAGTGGGGGGCAGTGGGGAGATCCTCTTCCTGCACAGCCAGAATGGCCACCCCATGTGTGCTCAGTGGAAATGTTCTTGGGGCAGGTACAAGGCTGAGTCCCCACCACCGCCCCCCGCTCAAGGCCCACTCCTCCATAAGACTCTTCACCAGTCTGGTGACCCTTCCTTCAGTGTGCCAGTGTCATTCACTGAGCAAATATTTGCTGAGTGTCTGCTATCTGCCAGCCCTAATGGGACAGAGTCCTCTCAATACAGACTAATCAGTCTGTTGAGACATAAATTGTGAAAGGATTTGCTGAACATTCCGATCAAACTCCACTCCAGCAGCAGCTGCCAGCACTCCTACACGTGTGAAGGGACCCAGGGCCAGCAGTTAGTGACCTAGTTTGGGAACAGTTGCTCTGGAGACTCAAGAGTAGGGGAATAAATGGTAGGAACAAGGGCCCACATTGGTGGACCCCACATCTATTGAACAGCTAGTGCAGTTTGGACCCTCAGCGCTTCTAACAAGGCCTGCTTGGCTGGACCTGAAGTCTGAGTCTGGGATGAGCCCAGTGGGCTGGTTGTTTTCCCATAGGACGCTGTCCAGAAAGATCTTACTTTCCAAGATATTAGTAAAGATGGGCTTGGTCTAGTTTAAGCCAAATATCTTGCAATGAAATGGAGAAGACATCTAGTGAATATTAAAAAAAGGAAACGTCCTGTTTGGTAAGATGCTGTCAAACAGCACCCCCTATCCCAATGCCTTGGAATCCCTGAGCCCCGAAACCGAGAAGTCCTTTAATAGAGTCAGAGGGCCATGGGTGCTGGCGGCTTTGTTGCTGCTGGCCATTCTCAAAGAACTAGAAGCCAGGCCTCCTGACTCCCAGCCCTGCCAGCACTTACTACCGACAGCTGAAGGCTGCAGGGCAGCTCTTATCAGCCCTGAGCTGTACTTGCCCCACAGGCAAACAAGGGTAAAATCTGGCCTCCGGCCTTACAGGGAGATACTAAATCAGCTGTGAAAGTGCTTTGGCTACTAAAGAATCTTGCAAATGTTAGCTATTAGGCTAACCCATCATAATCATTTCTGTCATAAACCAACAAAAAGGGTCAACAGTGGCAAGTAGCTTAGTGTCCCACCAGTAGGCTGCTGAGATCCCTCATGTGCTGGCTGGGACATATCCCCTCCCAAAAGGAACGTCTCTTGGCTCGAGACACCTATGAACTGCCCCACCACCAGCTGGGATGACCAAGTGGCACCCAGGCTTGCTGTTTACCAAAGCCACCTCCTATGCATGGTCCCAGAGACTTCTGGGGCTGATTCAGTTCTGGAAAAGAAGTCCCACATCTCGGTACCTGCAAGTCAAGGCCCAGCAGAAAAATGTGAGACCCCTGCCTTCCCCACTTCTGCCAGAAGCTAAGGGCTTGGGCTATGGTCTGACAAAGCAAGTGTGTTCATGGATGGACCAGAGGATGGGGGCACACAGGAGACAGAATACCAGAAGTTGGGATTTGGGACTCAGAACAGTTACTGTTTACTCATAGATACCTTTCTAATAGTTGTGCATACCTGTTAAGATTTCATGCATAAAAAACAAAAATTTATTATCTTGTAGTTCTGGACAAGTCTAAAATGGGTCACCCTAGCCTAAGATCATGGTGTCAGCAGAATTGCCCCCCTCCTGGAGGCTACAGGGGAAAATGTTTGCCTTTTCCAGCTTCCAGGTGGGTGGCAAGGGGAACTGCCCTCATCCCTTGGCTCATCGCCCCCTCCAGCAGTCACATTGCTCTGTCCTCTGGCCACCCTCATATCTCCTGCTTTGACTCCACTGCCTGCCTCTCGTATATGTAAGGACCCTCGTGATTACAGTGGCTCATCTGGATAACCCAGGCTAACTACCCCATCTCCAGGCCCTCACTCACAATTGTAAAATTCCTTCCACCCTCTCAGGTACAGTCACAGGCTCCAGGAA